TTTTTTCTATATAATGGCATATTCTTTAGAGACTTTTTCTAAATAGTTAAAATTTTATGAGGAATATAGACAAAATTTTAGTATCGTTCGTTAGCGAATTTTCACGGTTTTTTCAATACTAAATTGAAAAAAAGTGATACTTTTAAGCCGAATTTCGAACATCGGTCAATTCCAAACGAAAGAGCATACTTTTTTCTATATAATGGCATATTCTTTAGAGACTTTTTCTAAATAGTTAAAATTTTATGAGGAATAAAGACAAAATTTTAGTATCGTTCGTTAGCGAATTTTCACGGTTTTTTCAATACTAAATTGAATAAAAGTGTTACTTCTAAGCCGAATTTCGAACATCGGTCTATTCTAAACGAAAGAGCATACTTTTTTCTATATAAAGGCATATTCTTTAGAGATTTTTTCTAAATATTTAAAATTTTATGAGGAATATAGTCAAAATTTTAGTATCGTTCGTTATCGAATTTCCACGGTTTTTTCAATACTAAATTGAAAAAAGTGATACTTCTAAGCCGAATTTCGGACATCGGTCAATTCCAAACGAAAGAGCATACTTTTTTCTATATAATGGCATATTCTTTAGAGATTTTTTCTAAATAGTTAAAATTTTATGAGGATTATAGACAAAATTTTAGTATCGTTCGTTAGAGAATTTTCACGGTTTTTTCAATACTAAATTGAAAAAAAGTGATACTTCTAAGCCGAATTTCGAACATCGGTCAATTCCAAACGAAAGAGCATACTTTTTCTATATAATGGCATATTCTTTAGAGATTTTTTCTAAATAGTTAAAATTTTATGAGGAATATAGACAAAATTTTAGTATCGTTCGTTAGCGAATTTTCACGGTTTTTTCAATACTAAATTGAAAAAAAGTGATACTTCTAAGCCGAATTTCGAACATCGGTCTATTCCAAACGAAAGAGCATACTTTTTTCTATATAATGGCATATTCTTTAGAGATTTTATCTAAATAGTTAAAATTTTATGAAGAATATAGACAAAATTTTAGTATCAATCGTTAGCGAATTTCCACGGTTTTTTCAATACTAAATTGAAAAAAATTGATACTTCTAAGCCGAATTTCGAACATCGGTCTATTCCAAACGAAAGAGCATACTTTTTTCTATATAATGGCACATTCTTTTGAGATTTTTTCTAAATAGTTAAAATTTTATGAGGAATATAGACAAAATTTTAGTATCGTTCGTTAGCGAATTTTCACGGTTTTTTCAATACTAAATTGAAAAAAAGTGATACTTCTAAGCCGAATTTCGAACATCGGTCAATTCCAAACGAAAGAGCATACTTTTTTCTATATAACAGCATATTCTTTAGAGATTTTTTCTAAATAGTTAAAATTTTATGAGAAATATAGACAAAATTTTAGTATCGTTCGTTAGCGAATTTTCACGGTTTTTTCAATACTAAATTGAAAAAAAGTGATACTTCTAAGCCGAATTTCGAACATCGGTCAATTGCAAACGAAAGAGCATACTTTTTTCTATATAATGGCATATTCTTTAGAGATATTTTCTAAATGGTTAAAATTTTATGAGGAATATAGACAAAATTTTAGTATCGTTCGCTAGCGAATTTTCACGGTTTTTTCAATAAAAAATTGAAAAAAAGTGATATTTCTAAGCCGATATTCGAACATCTGTCCATTCCAAACGAAAGAGCATACTTTTTTCTATATAATGGCATATTCTTTAGAGATCTTTTCTAAATAGTTAAAATTTTATGAGGAATATAGACAAAATTTTAGTATCGTTCGTTAGCGAATTTTCACGGTTTTTTCAATACTAAATTGAAAAAAAGTGATACTTCTAAGCCGAATTTCGAACATCGGTCTATTTGCAAAACTAAATTGAAAAAAAGTGATACTTCTAAGCCGAATTTCGAACATCGGTCTATTCGCAAAACTAAATTGAAAAAAAGTGATACTTCTAAGCCGAATTTCGAACATCGGTCTATTCTAAAAACTAAATTGAAAAAAAGTGATACTTCTAAGCCGAATTTCGAACATCGGTCAATTCCAAACGAAAGAGCATACTTTTTTCTATATAATGGCATAGTCTTTAGAGATTTTTTCTAAATAGTTAAAATTTTATGAGGAATATAGACAAAATTTTAGTATCGTTCGTTAGCGAATTTTCACGGTTTTTTCAATACTAAATTGAAAAAAAGTGATACTTCTAAGCCGAATTTCGAACATCGGTCAATTCCAAACGAAAGAGCATACTTTTTTCTATATAATGGCATATTCTTTAGAGATTTTATCTAAATAGTTAAAATTTTATGAAGAATATAGACAAAATTTTAGTATCGTTCGATAGCGAATTTTCACAGTTTTTTCAATATTAAATTGAATAAAAGTGATACTTCTAAGCCGAATTTCGAAAATCGGTCTATTCCAAACGAAAGAGCATACTTTTTTCTATATAATGGCATATTCTTTAGAGATTTTTTCTAAATAGTTAAAATTTTATGAGAAATATAGACAAAATTTTAGTATCGTTCGTTAGCGAATTTTCACGGTTTTTTCAATACTAAATTGAAAAAAAGTGATACTTCTAAGCCGAATTTCGAACATCGGTCAATTCCAAACGAAAGAGCATACTTTTTTCTATATAATGGCATATTCTTTAGAGTTTTTTTCTAAATAGTTAAAATTTTATGAGGTATATAGACAAAATTTTAGTATCGTTCGATAGCGAATTTTCACGGTTTTTTCAATATTAAATTGGATAAAAGTGATACTTCTAAGCCGATTTTCGAACATCGGTCA